ACAATCAATGGTAACAATAACTATATGACCGAACATTAATAATTAATTAGGCCACTTTGGTGACTAACAAATTAATTTTATCTTAATGTCATATAATAAGCATTATAACAATAAAATTATATGACCAAACATAAAAAAATTAATTAGGCCACTTTGGTGACTAACAAATTAATTTTGGTTAATGTCATATAATAAACATAATTATAACATCATGATTTATAATTCGTACATCATCAAAAAAATAATTTGATTAAATCATAAATCAACTGTATCAATGCATGCGTCCTCAAAATACCTTCAGAATTCTAAGCAAAACATGAGTTACTTGCAAGCATTTAAATATATGCATTGATCGTGGGCCATGGCTCCCACTTGCATAAAACTCAATTTGACAATCTTAAACTTAATGTGCCATCATCATAAATTTGACAAGTGTCCACTGCATCAATCTATCAGTGCGGCCATGAGAACAGAGAAAGAAGCTATATTTCTAAACATATAATTTCGATACCGCCAAATTTTGATTGATTCAACACATATTCAGGAAATTAATTCGCGAACAAGAAATAATTGCAATTCAAGCCATCAAATCGAATAATCGATTAAGATTGTCCAATAAACATCACAGACAAAATAATCTCTCAACATTCCTACAAACAAATTATTTATTCACAACACATGCTCTGATACCACATGTAAACTTCATCAAGGATCTTGAATAAATAATTTGGTGTACACGAAATACTTACTTGATACGGAAGACAACATAATTAGTGATCTTGATCTTGATGATCACACGGGCTTGGTCGATTGTTAGATCTAAATTAGTTTCTCCCTCCTGGCCTTCTCTTAACGTAGCAGAAAACTAATCGGAACACTGCGTACCCTAATAGGAGGAGAGAGGACTAATTTATATAGGGGTGTCTTTATATCTGGTACGTCCATCAAATATCCAGATTAATGGCTTAGATTTGTCTGACCATTAATTAAAGACCTAGCCCAATAGGATAATTAATTGTGAGCACAATACTTTCGGGCCACATATTCTTACATTCCCACCCTCTGAAAAACATGTTGGGAGATGAAGTTAGTTCTAGATTAGAAGGGGACACATTAGAACCAGTCAATAGAACCAGTCAATAGTAGTGATGAGCTTGAGAGTTTGGTTGGTTCTGATGAAGATGACTTGTGCATGCCAAAGTACCCCAAGTACAACCCTACTAGTGATAGTAGAAAGCCAATCCTTAAATTAGGATTGATATTTAGTACCAAAGCAGAGGCAAAGTCTGCCATTGAAACTTACTGCTTTAGGGCTGGGAAGTCAATTTTCTTTGATAAGAATGACAGAAGAAGGCTTAGGGCAAGGTGCAAGACTTATGGTTGTGAATGGAAAGCATATGTTGCTCCAATTCAACATGGCAGTACTTGGCAAGTTAAGGTGTTCAATGATGAACACACTAACTGTGCTTGGAGCTATAATAATTATGCTATAAAGTCAACTTGGGTGGGTAAACATTTTATGAAAGAAGTCAAAAAAAATCCTAAGATACGAATAACAGGGTTTAGGGAACATGTGTGTTCTAAATTGAAGGCAAACATCTCCAAACACCAGGCTTATAGGGCCAGAATTGCTGCAAGAAGGCTCCTTGAGGGTGATGTGAAAGAATAGTATAGTAAGTTGAGGGATTATTGTGTTGAGTTACTAAGGTCTAATCCTGGGTCAACTGTGGTCCTCAAATTAATTGAAAATGAGGGTGTGGTAAATCAGTTTCATAGGTTTTATGTGTGTTTTAAAGCTTGTAAGGAGGGTTTCAAAGCTTTTAGAAAGGTGGTTGGGGTTGATGGGTATTTTTTGAAGAGGTTATATGGGGGTCAGTTGTTGACAGCTTGTGGGATTGATCCCAACAACAACATGTTTCCAATAGCTTGGGCAGTTGTAGAAGCTGAGACCAAAGATTCATGCCTTTGGTTTTTATCTCTGTTGGGGGATGATATAGGCATAAGTGAGGCTGAGATGTGGACCTTCATGAGTGATAAACATAAGGGATTAATACCAGCTTTTGAGAGTCTGTTCCCAGGGCAAAAAATAGATTTTGTGTTCAGCACCTTCATAGCAACATGAAGAAGTATGGTTTTTTAGGTTTGGCAATAAAGAAGGAACTGTGGGTTGCTGCAAGATGTAATAGGGTGGACGAGTTCAAAGCAAGAATGGATAAATTAAAGTCTGTTGATCCTAAGGCTTATGACTGGCTAGTGAAGAAGCCTCCAAATCAGTGGTCAAGATCTCACTTTAATTTAACACCTAAATGTGATATCTTGAGCAATAACATGTGTGAGAGCTTTAATTCACTTATTCTGTCTGCTAGAGAAAGAAACATCATTGGGCTGCTTGATACAGTGAGAAACATCATGATGGCAAGGATGCATACCAACAAAGAGCAAGCAAAGAAATGGGATGGTGGTATATATCCTAGGATAAAAAATGATTTTGGATGGGAACATGAAGAAGGCATGAGAACTCATTCCTATGAGGTCTGATGAGTGGAATTTTCAAATCATGGGGCCTTTTGAACATCACACTGTTGATGTTTTTGGAAGATCTTGTTCTTGTAGGAAGTGGGAATTGACTGGGCTCCCATGTAAGCATGTTATTTCTGCCATTTGGTGTAGAAAAGAAGAACCATGGTGGTATGTTCATCATTTTTACACTATTGAAACATATAGAAAGGCATATGAACTGCCAGTATTAGGGATAAATGATCCTGATTTGTGGCCTAATGTTGAGCTTCCCCCACCTATCCCTCCTGCAATTGTGAAGAGACCTGGAAGACCTAAGAAAGCAAGGAGAAGAAATCCAATTGAGCCACCAAGTGCATTGCCTCATAATCCCCTGAGATTGAAAAAGCATGTAAAGAACATGGCCACAATGCTAGAAAGCATAAGAAGGCTGACCAAAATGAAGAACAAGAGGAGATCCCAGTGAGTGAATCTCAGCCTCCACCAGCTACTGACAATGTTTTCTCAAGCCAGTCACTTGCACCAACACCTGCAAACAACAACAATGATGCTGAAGCTAGTAGAAATAGGGTAATTTACCCTTTTTTATCTTCTTTTTTAATTGTACTTCATCCTCATTTACTATGTCTTTTCCTCTATGTTTTGATTTAAACTTGTCATATTTATTTTGTCTATTTTTATAGTCTCAGGAAAAGAGAAGAATAACAATGAAGAGAAAAAGCAGTTAGTTGGATGGAAATGGCAATGAGGATCAAGGACAGACTGTCAATGTGAGTTATTGTGTTATAGAAGTGAGAGTTTTATTTCAGTTGGATTGGATTTTGAGTTCTTCGTTCAAAATAATTCCTTAATCACTTGTACAAATGCAGGTCACTCAATCTGAGGGAGTCACTTGTCATGTTGTGGTGAAAGGAGGTGTGAATTACATAACAGTCTCCAACATCAGAGCTGCTTTGAGGCCAAGGAATGGGCCATCTCCTAGTAAGGACAAGGCTGCAAACAAGTAACTCTGGATTTGTGTTGGCTTATTCTGAAATTATGTTGTTTGACTATTTAGATTTATTTTGTTTTAATTGTGTTGTGATGGGATAATGATATCTTTGATGATTCTGGCTTGACTGTTGATTTCTATTTATGATGATGAATTTTTTATGATGGATTGTGGTTTGAACAAGGTGGTGGAATGTGTTATTGTAGTGATTGACTGTGGATTTCTGTTTATGATGGATTGTCAAGATAATTTTGATTTAATTTTTTAATTTTCTTTGATTGAGTTCAGACAGAGGATAATGTTGCTCATTTGCATTTGGTTAAGTAATTTGTAATGAGATACATATGTTGGAAAATGAAAATGCTGCTTTCATTGACTTAGAAAATGCTGATCACATAAGTTGCATTTGCTAATTGCTAATTTTTGCTACTTAGTACATAGAACACAATTACTACAAGTAGAAAAAAGACTCCTACTTTTATAATGGAATTTTTCTTTTCATTTTCCAATGCAGCTAGTTGTTTTTCCAAATTTTATTCTTGCTATTGGATTTCCTCAAATCAACTTCCAGTTTTCCTTCTCTTATCATGAAGTCAATGACCTCATCCTCAAGCTTGTTCATTTTTGAAAGCAGTCCGGGTATTATTTGTTTGGAACGAGCACACATTTCCGGATCCAACCACTTGTAAAATCCACAATATTCAATTGTCTGCAAGAGAGAATAATACAATCATACATTTTTTTTATGAATATGATAAAAAAGAAAAATCGAAAATAATACCCCGTATTAGGAGCATGCCCAATATCTTCTTCCGGGATTGGTTTTTGTCCATGATGTCTTCAATGGGAGTTCTTCACCAAAAGGACACCAACATTTTTGGACAGGAAAATTATTATTCCAAGAAGAAGAACTGCTAGAATTACTTCTCATTTTTTTTTTCGGATTTTTTCTATTTTCTGTTGAAAGCTGCGATTTTTGATGGAAAAATATGGCTACATTAAGCCATATATATATAGAGTACACCAGGCGCGCAAAAAAATACATTTCCCTCTATTTTCACAACTAACGGTGACGACTAACGGGCTTTTGACGGACAACTAACGCCAGGTACTAATGTCGCAAACGGAATAAAAATTTATTATTGATTTTGCAAATATTAAAAAGTGAATACTGATTCTGAAATGAACTTTAGTTTGGGTACCAAAAGTACAATTTACCCTAAATTTTATTGGAAAATTTTAGGACACAAAATATTTGAAGATTTTGACTTCGTCAACGATCAGAAGAAAACCCTGTCCTGATTTTTATTGGAAAATTTTAGGACACAAAATATTTGAAGATTTTGACTTCGCCAACGATCAGAAGAAAACCCTGTCCTGATTTTTATTGGAAAATTTTACGACACAAAATATTTGAAGATTTTGACTTCGCCAACGATCAGAAGAAAACCTTAACGCGCAGATCAGAAGAAAACCTTAACGCGCAGTGGAAATGGATTCCGCTTCCTCCCCTACAAGCTCGGTCGTGCAGCCGCCGCCGGTCGAGGCGAAGACGGCGGCGAAACGAGAAGTACCGAAGAAGGAGATGGCGCACCGGACGAAGGTGATACAATTCATGGGGCGGACAAAGCCCATCATCCTCCAAAACGACAATGGCCCCTGCTCTCTTATCGCCATATGTAATGCCATTATTTTTCCTCCATTTTAGGGCTGGTTTTTGGGGTCATTATGCGCATCGTATGCCTGAACAAAGCTGGGTAGCATCTGCATTGTTGTTGAAGATTTTGCACGAATTGTTGCTTCATTTTTGCATAAAAGGATAAATGTGGTTATCTTTGATAGAAACCGTTGTGGACGACACTGTCAGGAAATGGGATATTTTGAGAATTGTGATGATTTGGTGGGCGTAGCATGTCTTCGTTCGATATGGAATTTTTTTGGATACGGGAATTGGTTCATCATTTGGCCAATTTTTTTTTTTTTTTTTGGTGGTATTTTGTTGTTCTTTTTGCTTTGCTTGTTGCTTATGGGGATAATGTGGCTGTAGTGATTATTGATTGTTTGGAGGGGCTTTGTTGTGAAGATGAAGATGTTAAAAATAGCACTCACTGAAATAAAGTGAGAGTTGTGTTTTGAGTCTTCTGATCAGTTGTGTTTCATTGAACTTTTGGTATTACATGAGGGACTCACGTAATCTACCACCACTGTTAATAATTAAGCGTTAATATGATTTCATGTCCTGCACTTATCTGGTGCAATATCTTGTATAGATAAGTTTTTTGATTAGATTCAGGGTGAGTATTGTATGCGGGAGCGTGTTAAACCTATACTGTAGTTACCTGATGTCTATTGAATTTAGTAATTTGATCTAAGATTCTTGGATTCACTAAATGTTAGTTTTTTTGGTTGTAAAACTCCAAGCTCAAATTATTTTGTAAAGTTGGGGACTTTGAACTTTATCTGGTTGCTTTAAGTTATCTTGATTCTTACTTCTGATGTATCATTGAAGAAGCCTTTTTATGAATCTTGTAATTCACATATGCTCATCATCTTTACGTTTTGCAAATTCGCTTTCCATTTATATTCTACCTTCTTCGCCTCGCCCAGTTGAATATTTCATTTCCTTCCTTTTATTTTTCTTTACTTTCTTTGGATCTTTTAGTTTCCTCCTATTTTTTTTTTCTCTTACTGCTGAAACGACATTGAAGGCCTAAAGGACTGGCCTTTTTTACTTTGTTTAATATGTAATAAAATTTGCCCATATCTGTCTGTGAATTTGGACTCAAGAACCTACTTTTGCCGACTGGCTGGTTTGCATTGGAGATTTTTCGCTTAAATGATTGTTAGAACATGTGCAATGACGCTGATAGGGTGAAGCTTCACATTATTGTTTTATGATTACTTTCTCACAATTGTATGATAATTCCGTTATGTTATTGGACTTACAGCTGACTAATTGTGTGCTTGCATATTGTGATAGGTAACGTGCTTTTGTTGAAGAATATTTTGAATTTGAGCCCAGATATTTCAGAGGTTTCACAGGAGAAATTGCTTTCACTTGTTGCTGACCACTTGATTGCTTCAAACAGTACTGACGTAATTCCTTTTTGTACTGAATTACTAATTAAGTATTGTACTTTTTGTGGTGGAAAAAGTCCTCCTTTTGAATATATTAAACCTTCCTTCTAAATCTTCATATTCTTTTTGTGAACTTGACTAACTTGGTTTGCTTCCTAAACAGAATATTGCAGATGCAATTGATTTGCTTCCTAAACTGGCAACTGGGATTGATGTAGATATCAAATTTGGAAGGTATATTTGATTTTTGATTCTTTGGCCGCCACAGATCGTCCGTGTCTGTATGTGCACTAGATATGCTATTGATGGCCATAGTGTTGCGTGTACAAAAAGCGTTTGCTTTACGATGTGTATATAAAGGCATATTAACAAATAGTTAGAATACTTGATGGGTGGCTCTACTATTGTTTGTAATGTTATTTTTCAGGATTGATGATTTTGAGTTTACTCGAGACTGCACAATATTTGATTTACTGGATATCCCGCTCTATCATGGATGGATAATTGATCCGCAGGTGGGACTTCCATTTTTTTTTTCCTTTCATGTGCTATTCTAAATTTTGTATTTTTTCCTTGAGGTTGATGTATTCTTTCTCCTTTTATTTTTATTTTTATTCCCCCCCCCTTTCTTTGAATAGAAAAAGTGTTGGAAAACTACCTAGAATCTATTCTTATGAAAATTGTGGAACAAAATTAAAGTCTGATATGATGCACGACTTGCATAATCACTGCACTTAATATGCTGGCAACATTTTTTTTTTTTTTTTTCAGATGTGTTCTTTTATACATGATGTACTTATTAAGGGTGGGCATTAATCAAAAAGTGCGCAATGAGCATGGTGTTATTTTGTGCTTATACACCCATAACCTGAAATATTATCATTTATGTCCTTTATTGGTGTAGGCTATTGATCTCATTTTGCTTTCAATGTGAACATCTTGTCAAATTAGTGCTGACATTTCATGATTTTTTGTATGCATGTTCTTCAGGACAAAGAAACTGCCAATGCGATTGGTCCAAAATCGTACAACACTATAGTGGTGGATCTTGTTTCACCAGCACCAGCTAAGGATAGCGACAATCAAAACGACCCTGAGGATGGTGTAGATTTTGTTGCGGAAACAACTGCAGCTCTTGGGGTGCCATCTCCTTGTCTTTCAAGAGGTCAATCTTTCGATGAATCCCCCAATAAAGCACGAAAGGGAGACATTGAAGAAGAAAGGGAGCTCTTGCGATTCATGAAATTATCAGAGGCAGAAATGTTCAGTTCAGTGCCGGATAGTGTAACTTATGAAAATCAAGAGCCTGTTTATGAGGGCGAGGTGGTTTTTGCCGAACAAGTTGGTAGAGGTTGTGTGATTGATGATGAATTCAAACAAGGTATGGTTATCTTGTTTTATACTTCTATTTATTTTCTTGTTTTATACTTTTATCAGTCAAACAAGGTATTGGTTATCTTGTTTTATACTTTTATTTATTTTCTTCTAAAAATAAAATCACCTTGTCCTATATTTATTTTGTTTATTATTTCTGAAGGTAAGTGTTTTTGTACTAAGTTGCTTATGCATCATGCCACATCTTTGGTTCTTGTAGGTGAACTGATCCGGAACTTTTTGAAGAATAGTGCTAGTCAGCTGACTATATATGGGTGGGTACCTTACACAGGCTAATTTGCTCTATAGCTGGAATTTACTTTTGGGCATTACAATTTTTTTGGTTGTTTGTTATTTTCTGCAGCCTATCTTGCTTACAAAAGGAAGTTAAGGAGCGCGAACTCTGTGTGTTCTTTAGGAACAATCATTTCAGCACTATGTTTAAGGTAAATTTATGGGGAAAATTAGCTGTATTATTCAAATGATATTTCTTACCGATTGCTTCTCTAACTACAATTGGGTTTTCTTGTTTTGCAGTATGAAGGTAAGTTATACATCCTAGCAACGGACCAAGGTTACCTAAATCAGCCAGATTTGGTGTGGGAAAAGCTGGATGAGGTGAGATTGGTATTACCAAATTATTAATTACTGAATATAACCATATTAATTACTGAATATAACCATAAGCGGACATAGAAATGCTTTGGTTGTTTAATTGTTTATTTATGCGCTTACATATCTTCCTGCAATTAGGTGAATGGTGCTAATTTATACATGACTGGAAACTTCACGGAGTTCACAATGGATGACACGGGTTCAAATTTCAAGTAATTTTTTTTAAACTTCTTTGTGGTGAAAGTTTTCTGTCTTTGCTAATTTTGTTGGTGATTATATTATGCTTCATTTCACTTTGCTCTTATTTTGGAATAACTTGCTTCATTTTTTTTTTTTTTTTGGGTTATTTGCAGTTCCGATTTGCAATGGGCAGAACATGAATTCGAGCAACAGAAACATAAATTGCAACCCAATAACTTACAACAACCTTCGACAAGTAGTGCTTCGAGCCTCTCACATCAACCTTCGACAAGTAGTGCTTCTCACTCCAATCTCGACACACACTCTTCTCGCTTCTCAAATTCTCTCCGACTCCCTGCTCACCGCCCCGCCTCCGCCTCCAACTCCACTTTCAGAATGGTAATTACTAAAAAATCAAAAATTGTTCATATAATAGGCGAGAGGTTCTCTTCAAGTTCATAAATTTCGATGAAAAAAAAATCCCGAGCATTTAAGCTTGTAATTTTTTATTTTTTTTAATGTGAGAAAATAACACGAATGAGAAAATACGGCAAATATTTATTTTTGTCCCTTATCTCATTTTCATTTTCTCGTTGTCATCTCCGATCTCAACATTGAATGTGAATATGTTTGTAGGTGTCCACAGAGAAGGTTCGTATGATTATGGATAAGAAGCATAATATTCGTAACACGTCGATAATCGGACACTTATACCACGGCAAGTCGACTGTCGCCTGCCGCGTGACGGACACCTATGCGGACGAGGATGAGTGCATTATGACGACCAAATTGACACCATTCTCTTTCTGTTACAAAATGAGTGATGAGTCACTCAAGACCTACAAGGGTGAGAGACATGGTGACGAGTATCTCATCAACCTCATTGACTCCCCTGGACACGTCGACTTCTCCCACGAGGTCACGGCCGCATTCCGCATCACAGACGGGGCGATTGTGGTGGTGGACTTAATTGATGGTGTTCTTGTCCAGACCGAGGCTGTCATTCGACAGGCCATGGCCGAGGGCATTCGCCTTGTCCTCACAGTCAACAAAATGGATAGGTGTTTCCTTGAGGAGCACGTGATGGACGGCGAGGAGGTCTACAAAAGCTTGGAGAAGGTGATTGAGGACACCAATAAGATCTTGGCCACGTATGAGGACGCCGACCATTGCGATATCCAGGTGTCCCCCGAGAAGGGCAATGTAGTTTTTTGTTCTGGCGTGGACGGCTGGGGGTTCACACTCAGTCACTTTGCTAAGTATTATGCATCTAAGACGGATATAGATGAGGCCATGTTGACGAAGAGGCTCTGGGGGGAGAACTTCTTTGATACTGAGACTAATAAATGGACGAAAAGTCGGACAGACTCCGAGACTTGTGCCCGAGGGTTTGTTAAGTTTGTTTACAATCCGATCAAAAATATCATTGCCGCATGTATGAAGGAAAAGGACGGCAATCTGGAGAAGCAAAAGGAGGAAAAGGACAGCAATCTCGAGAAAAAAAAGGAGGAAAAGGAGGGTAATTTGAAGAAGAAAAAGGAGGGCAATTTGACGAAGAAAAAGGGTGATCTTTGGTGGCATCTTGAGGAGCGTGGGGTTAACTTGACCGTGGAAGAGAAGCAGTTTGCGGGCATACAGTTGATGAGGTGCGTGATGAACCGGTGGCTCCCCGTCAGGAGCGCCCTCCTCGAAATGATGATATTTAAATTGCCATCACCCGCCACGGCCCAGAGATGTATGGTAGATACCTTATATTGCGGCCAACCCAATGATTCATATGCACAGAGCATTAGGAACTGTGACCCGGATGGTCCATTGATGCTTTATGTGTCCAAGATTATTCCAAACGACTTGGCCTCTGACAACTTGCCAATAAAGTTGTTGGCCGTTGCTCGCGTCTTCTCTGGAAAGGTCTCGTCCGGCCTCCAGTGAGAATCAGGGGCCCAAACTATTTGCCCACCATGTGCATCGATGACAAGGAGAGCATCGTCAAGAAGGGCACCGTCGAGGATGCATATATCTGGATGGGCGAGAAGCTGGAGATTATTGATGATGTTCCGTGTGGAAACATTGTGGCCTTGGCTGGGCTTCGGCGTGGCAACACCGGTGCTACTGTCACTAGTTGTGAGGAAGTCGATGCTCATGTTATCCGGGGCATGAACTTTACCGTTACCCCTATTTTGCGCATTGACATCAAGTGCACGCAAATTAATGTCAAAAATTGTCTGGTGCGGCGTATAGAGCGTCTGCAGCTCCTGGACCCTATGGTCATCTCCAGTCTTGACGATGACGTTACCGGGCTTTTCATTGGTGGGGTAGGTGAACTTCACCTCCAGATTTGCAGAAAGGACTTGCAGGATAATGTGGCGAGTCTGGGACAGATGACAAGCTCCTCACCGGTCGTGTCCTTCCGTGAGTCGGTCCATTTGTGGTCTGCCCGTACCGCCTCCGTAAGGTCTCTTAGCATCCAACTCTGCATGAAGGCCCGGCCCATGAAGGCCGGCCTTGCCAAGGCCATCGATGACGGGCGGATTGGCCCTCATGACGACCCCGAGGCCCGCTCTAAAATCCTAGAGGAGGAGTTTGGCTGGGACAAGGAGCTCGCCAAGCAGATCTGGTGCTTCGGACCCTACAACACTGGCCCGAATATTTTGGTCAACATGTGCAAGGAAGTCAAGCACCTTGACAAAATCAAGGACTTGGTCGTGAGCGGTTTCCAGCAAGCCTCGAAGCAGGGCCCGCTTTTCGGAGAGAAAATGTGGGGAATCTGCTTTGAGCTGCGTGACGCCGTGATCGACCACAAGATAGACCCCAAAAACTTCGTATACAAGAGAGAGATCGTGTCTAATACTAAGAAGGTCATGTACGCCGCCTATCTCTTGGCCAATCCTATTCTCTTGGAGCCCATGTACTTGGTTGGGATTCGGGCCCCTGAGTGCCACCTCGAAATAATATACCAAGCTATATACGAGAAGATGGGACACGTGCTCGAAGAGGCAAAGATGCCGTGCACACCATTCTACAATGTCAAGGCCTACCTGCCGGTAAGGAAGTCTCTTGGGTTCTTCACCAACCTTCGGGCGAGGACTTCCGACCAGATTTTTCATCAACAGGTGTTTGACCATTGGCGCGTATTATATTCCGACCCACTGGACCCCGAGACTGAGGCGGGTAAGCTGGTGGTTGAGACTCGGATGAAGAAGGGGATGGGGAAGATGGAAAAGGTGTCCGATTATGAGAAATAAACTGTGAGTTTTATAAATAGATCGAGCTAATGATGCCCTTATGAGAGTTATCACCATAATTGACTGTTTTCGTTTCCTCTTTTCTTTTGGCTTCTTTATGTCTGGAGATTCTCTCTTTTTTTTCCGCTTTGAATTCCTGGGCTTTATCATTAGGTGCGTGTCATTGCAAAAAAGGCGTCTTTTTTTTGCCTTTCCCTATCTCATCATCCCTCGTATAATACCTTAAATTATGTATATTATATATTATTTTATCATTGTTGAGCTAATAATAAGAATTTAGCTGTAGAAATAATATCCACAATTACATAATCACCAATCTTAGTAGCCTCGTTTTATCGTTTTATTGTAATAAACAAAATATTAGCTTACTTAAAAGTATTTTTTGGAATAGCTGGCCCTTTTTTAGTTATTTTTTTAACTATTATAAGCAAGTACAGATGAGATGAGATGATCTCATGAGATGATATATATTTTTTGAAAAAGCAATAAATAAATAAAAGAATATATTACTTTAGATTGTTTCTTTTGTCTTTTTTTCTTCCAAAGATTGTTTAGGTGCACAAGGATTATATCCTCTAATAGAATATATTTCCTACAACGAGTTCGAGAATGGTCAAAACACTATGGGAGATGGATAACAAGATCAGATAAATTTGACTTCTCTACCTTTTGTTAGAGGTTTTATTGCTCTTTAACACTTTTGAGGTGAAAAGATATTTTCAGTTTACCGATTCTTTGTATTGTCATCTGATTTACTTCGAACAGATGCAACAACTTGTATTGAAACAAAATGGTGAACAAGACTTTTTAAATATAAATAATAATGTAATTTATGAAGAATTGTTTATAACTTGGAAACCTGAACTTCTGTTTTTTTATAATTAAACTAGGAGTAGATTTTTTATAAGCACTCGTGTAATACACGGGTGTTGTATTGTACTAGTACTAATAGTTACAAGGGAGGACAGTTCTCTTGTTTGCTTGAAATCGTCTCGAAGTCGTATACATCGCTCTGCTCACCCAACCATTCTAATATCACTGCTTGTTGTGCAGCTTTGAAATAAATACTGTTTCCTTTATATTAATTCATTTAAGTTTACTTGTGTACTTTACTTGAGTACGAGTTGTTTAGGCCGACTGTGTCTAATATCAGACCCTTACATTTGTCAGGATGAGGATGAACTAGGTTTACCAGCTGTCCCTAGAGCTTCACTCCGAGGTTAGAGAGGGAAGAAGAAGCCTGCCAATGCTGAAGTTGACTGACCTCCATCTAGCATTGCCGTTGTATGTAAGTTTGCATGAATCTGTCATTTCTCGTTATTCTAGTGAAACCATTATGATGTCGGTCGGTTTGGGGATATAATGGGTGCAAATTGGATGCTCTTCACGTGGAACTCCCGATAAAATGTGTTCGCAACTTCGTGATTCATTATCTTTTGTGATGTTTGTTTGAGAACTCAAAGGTGGATGTATGTAGATGTCCAGCCTGTTTTACTATCTTTGTCAGCAGTAATGTGAATACTTGTGATTTGCTGCCTCTTAAATGTTTTGTTTTACCTAATCGAAGAGATAATATTTCTGGTAACTTGGTGTGATGACATGATTGTCATTGATTTATCTGATCTTGTTATCCATCTCCCATAGTGTTTACCATCCTCTAATTTAACCACACATTTTTTGTGAAAAGAATATATTACTTTAGATTGTTTCTTTTTGTCTTTATTTTCTTCCAAAGATTGTTTCTTTTTGTCATCCTCCCTTTTTCCCTCACCTTACTCATTATGTTTCTTTTTATTTTATTAGGAAAAAGCTATTTGTACAACTTTGTTGTACAACATTCAATGACAACATGACATGGCATGATGTGGGTGGTTGAGATGCAAATAAATGTATGGTTGAGATTTGAGTTAATGATACTTTTAACTAAGTTGTCAACCAATATTGTAATCTACAATTATACATGTAGCATTGTCCATTTTATTACTAGTTGGATATCGGTTGTGCACAGCACAACTGGCCCGATTTTTGTTAAAATTAAGTACGTAATTAATTTATAATTAAATTACATATTATGTTGTGAAAGTATGTTTTTTATTGAGTATTAATTTGAATATAAAGTTATCTTACTATTAGCTGTTTTTGTAATGTGTAAAAAAAAAAAAAATATGACTTTTATCATTCAATTGTGGATTGAGACGTTGGAAGTAAAAGAAAATCTAACTTCTCAACCCATAATAATTGAAAGATACGAGTCGGACAATATTAAAATTCAACTATACAACAATTTGATATAATTTGTTAGTTCACAGTAGGTTAGCACTAAAGGTACATTGTAACAAAGATTAAATTTTAACTTTGAGGGTAATTAGGCTCCGAGTATGAGTTATGCATTGGGAAATTTTTATCCCTCCTACACGATTCAAAAGAAATTACAACTCTACTACATACATGCAATTAATTGTGATTTTGCCTAAAAGATAATTTTTATCTACATTAATGCATAATGACAGTTACCATTTAATTCTAACCACTCTCCACGTGCATTTAATTTGTCTGATTCAGTTACCATATCAATTCAACTTTCTCTCCTTATTTTGCCCGTGATTTGCGTCCATTTGCTAAAAAAAATATTTTCTGAATTATATTCTGAAGCATATATACTATACATATACTGTACATATACCACAACATAGCGCAAAAAACAATAGAGGCGAAAATATACTGATATAAACCGTAAATACCAAAAATATACATACATATACTCTATATATACCACAACATATACCGAAAATATACTGAATATAAACGATAAATATAACGTGGTGGACGTCACAAACACGATACAATATGAGGGGATAAAAAATATACTGAAAATATATTGAATATAAACCATACAAAGGTAGAAAAAATCACACACACAAAACACCAAATCCAGACGAAATCATGGATCAAAACAGTAGAAAAAAATATGAAATCAGTTTTTCAGATTCGACGATTTGATAAGCCAGGCCAAGAAAATTTACTGTTTTGCGCTTCATGATTTGATAAGTCAGGCCAAAAAAATCAATTTTCTTCACCATGTAAACTTAAAATGCTTGAAACCCCAGTTTGCTGTACCTGATATGAGCATCCATTATTGGATTGTTTGATTCTGATGCTTTTTAATTTCCGGTGGAAGATTTGGGGATTCAAGCAATTTAAGTTTACATGATAATTGATGGGAAGTAATTTGATGGGAAGTTACGTGTGAATAGGAATGAGAAGTACCATATAAATAGGAATCAGTTTTTTAGGAATATATGCAAATAAATATAATAAATTTAGTTAATTTATAAATAATTATATAGGAAATGTAATTATGTAATATTTTGAGATTGTATAAGTGGAGGATGTAATTTCCTCTATTTTATTTTTCTCTTCAAAAAAGTGCTAGAAAACCGCTCAAATGTATTATTACTATTATGGGTAACCAAGCGAGACCCAACTTTTTGCCCCTAATAATAATCTGTTTAAAAAATCTGGATAGGTCCAGTCAAAAAAAAAAA